GTTTGATGTTTCATTAATTAATTGATTTCAAACAGAATCCTAAATAACAACTTCGAATAAAAAGAATATTGTAAAGTAAATATGTAATAATACAAAAAAACATAATACAATTTCAAACTTTAAAAAATAGAAATAAAACCTAATCATGCTCATAATTATTTTTAACAACAACACCATAAAAAAATTTCTTTGTTTTTTTTTACAAGAGCATAGTGAGTAAAATTGAATCAAAAACAGCTAATCCACACTTTTTCAACAACAAATAAGGAGATATTTTTAACAAAATATGCCTGATTTTGATAGGAATATTCAAAGAATCCATATGACGATGAAACTTACTTACATTTTTATACAATCGACATATACACAAAAAAATTTTTTGATTATGTGCAATGAACAATCACATTAAATTCTATTAATAAATGTGCATAATATGAAGCGGATTTTAGTTTTTTACCATAATGATAAGCACTATCAGCAACTCTAAAACAGTTATAAAACTGATAAAGATTTAGGTCAACATTTAAATCATTCAAATCCATATTCCGCAACTTTTCTGATATATTTTGTGCTGCACCTAACACAAAAGGATTCAAAGAAAAAGTATTTAAGTGGTCTTCCGCCTGAAATCTAACAAATTTTTCAGCCATTTGTCTTCCATGGCCTTTAGTTCCTGTAACAGACCTCTTTAGTTGGTGATTTACATTTTCAAACATCATAGCTGACATTGCTGTAAGAGGTCCAAAATTTTTTACCTGTTTAGAGAGATGTGCTAATGCATGGAAAGTGAATGTGCGAATACCTTTACCAAAATAAGAGCATAATGCCTTTTGAAATAAATATACTAGTTGCTGACAAGCATCAATATCATTTGATGAAATAATTTCATTGGATAATGTATAAATAGATGTTGAAAGCATTAAATAAAGAGAACAAATTTCAGCATTACCAAGTTTGTAAAACACAAACGGCCCATAATACAATAGAAAATACTTGTGCACTTGAGCTTGATTTTATGGAGTCTATTATTATATCATATAATAATGATTTTAAAAAAATTAATAATAGGCTCCATAAAATTGCCATATTATGGCAATTTTATGGAGTCTAAATTAAATTAAAAACTAAATTTTTTAAAAATCAGCACCTATAAACCCTTTGCGCCAGAGTGAAAGTCACCCATTATACTCTGCTAGCCCAAACCCTAATACACTACTTAGCAGCGACAATTATAGTTTAAAAAATTAAAATATGTTGTTAGATAAAATTATAAAATATAAAACTTAAACTATTTTTTTTTTTTTTTTTTTTTTTTTTTTTTTTTTTTTAAGTTTACATTTGTTGTCGTAGTAAATAAATTACTTTCACAAACACAAACAAGGTTTCTGAAAGAAGATCGTACTGATCTTATCATCAGAACCTTTTACAAACGTGTGTATATAAACTACATCAAAACATAATCAACAAATAAAACGTAATAAACAATAAAAGTTCTAAAGAAAATATAAAGTTAAAAAAATCTGACTACATCATCCATTAAGATAATTAAATTTTTCAGTTTATATTTAAAAATGGGAAAAGTAAAATGCATGTTAAAATTGGACAAAACAAATTTTATTCCAAAGATAAGGTGCACGATATGCAATGCAAAACTGATTAAAACTGGTTCGACAAAAGGGCTCATATATAAAATTATTGTTTCTAAGTGTATATTTATTTATTGGCTTCAAACAAAAGAGATCTTTGAAAATGGGTAAAGATATGTCATTTTTCCACATATACATAAAGCACAAAACATTAAAAACATTAAGCTCATAAATATTGAGAACTTTCATTTCAATAAAAAAGGGTTTGGAGTGAGTGTATCGATCCGCAAAATTTATTAAACGGATCGCATGTTTCTGACGGCGATAAAGGCATTTTAACTTACTTTTTTCAGTGCTTCCCCATGCAACATTAGCATAATTTAAATAACTATGAATTAATGAGTAGTAAAGTTGAGTTAGACTTTTTTTACATAAATATGTTCTGGTTTTATATAGAATACCAATATTTTTAGAAATTTTTGTACCAATATAGTCTATATGCTTTTTCCATGTTATGTTTTCATCAAGAAAAACACCTAGAAATTTTGTTACATTATGTCTTTTTATTTCAACATCATCAATAAAAATTTTAGGCAAACTTTGGGGTAAATAAGCTTTTTTAGAGACTGGGTGGAAAAGAACCCAATTTGTTCTTTTAATATTAAGAGTTAGTTTGTTGCATTTAAACCATTTGGATATACTTTTAAGTTCATTATTCATAGTATAAAAGAGTTTGCAAATGTCATTATTGGAAAAGAATAAGTTAATATCATCAGCAAACATGATACTCATTAAATTTGAGGCTTTATTTAGATCATTTATATAAATCAAGAACAAAAGTGGTCCCAAAATGGAACCTTGTGGAACGCCACATGAAATATTTAAAAATTTATTTGGATGATCATTATTGCTGAAAACAAATTGTTTAGGGTTGGATAGATAACTTTTGAACCATTTTATAACTTTGCAATTTATTCTATAATATTTTAGCTTTTGTAGTAAAATTTCGTGATCGACAGTATCGAATGCTTTCGAAAGGTCGATGAAAACACCTAATGTATATTTACAATTTTCAAAAGAATTAGAGATTTCACGAACAAATTGGATAACTGCATGTTCTGTGGAATTATTTTTTTTAAAGCCGAATTGATAGTTGTATAAAAAATTATTAGAATGAAGATAATTGTATAATCTATTGTACATAATACGTTCTAGTATTTTTGAAAATGTGGAGAGGACAGAGATAGGGCGATAATTACTGATAATTGTTTGATCACCTTCTTTTAAAATTGGAGTAACTTTAGCAATTTTTAGTTGTTCTGGAAACAATCAAATAAAAAACTAACCCGAATATATATAAAAATCTAACCCGAATATAATAAAAAACAATCAAATAAAAATCTAACCCGAATGAAAATTTAATAAAAATCATGGTTAAAAATCATTTTAAAAAAAAAGTTTAATAATAACAATTACAAATTTTTCAAATCTCCGCGAACGAGAGCATGTAAAGTTAAAACATAAAATTATTTTAGGCCGCTTAACTGCAGATTTACCTATATATATATATATATATATATATATATATATATATATATATATATATATATATATATATATATATATATATATATATATATATATATATATATATATATATATATATATATATATATATATATATATATATATATATATATATATATATATATATATATATATATATATATATGTATATATATATATATATATATATATATATGTATTTATTTATTGTTATTTTTATTTTTGTTTCTTTTATAATAAAATCCTTTACAACATGTAAAAACTGTAGAGCTATAAATTCAAAATCTACCAGGTATACCGGTATGAAGTGAGCGTCAAGATACAAATGTCTCGATAGGGAACATTTGTTGTGAACGAGCCTTTATTTTTTTTTGTTTGTTTGCTATGACATCTGTGAAACATATTTAGTATACATCAAGTCATTGAACAGACAACATCATATTTTTTCATCGTGTTTAAAATGTCGAATTTTGTACCGGAAAGTGATGATTTGCGGAAAGCATTAATTTTTGTTTTCATTTGAAGAAAAGTGCTGCAGAGTCGCATCGAATGCTTGTCGAGGCATATGGTGATCATGCTCTATCAGAAGCAACATGCAAAAGATGGTTTCAACGGTTCAGAAATAATGATTTTGATGTGAGAAATGAAGAACGTGGAAGACCACCAAAAAAGTTTGAAGACGCCGAATTGCAAACGATATTGGATGGAGATGACACTTTGAGTCAAAAGCAAATGGCAGAAATGTTAAATGTTGCACAACAAACAATTTCTGACCGTTTAGAAGCTATGGGAAAGATCCAAAAGTGTGGAAAATGGGTGCCACATGAATTGAATGAAAGACAGATGGAAAACCGAAAAAACACTTGTGAAATTTTGCTTCGAAGACACGAAAGAAAATCGGTTTTGCATCGGATTGTTACTGGCAATGAAAAATGGATTTATTTTAAGAATCCTAAACGGAAAAAATCATGGGTTAATCCGGGACAACCATCAACATCGACTGCAAAACCAGATCGATTCGGCAAGAAGACAATGCTGTGTGTTTGGTGGGACCAGAAAGGTGTGGTGTTCCACGAGCTCCTAAAACCTGGTGAAACCGTCAATACTGATCGCTACCGACAACAAATGATCAATTTGAACCATGCATTGATCGAGAAACGACCAGAATGGGCCAGAAGACACGGCAAGGTAATTTTGCTCCATGACAATGCACCTGCACACAAAGCAAAACCGGTTCAGGATACAATCAAAACACTTGGCTGGGAGCTGCTACCCCACCCGCCGTATTCACCAGACTTGGCTCCTTCCGACTACCGTTTTCATCGATGGGACACGCATTGGCTGAGCTGCACTTTGATTCCTACAAGGAGGTCGAAAATTGGGTGTCTGGTTGGTTTGCTTTAAAAAACGAACAATTTTATTGGCGTGGTATCCACAAATTGCCAGAAAGGTGGTCAAAATGTGTAGAAAACAATGACCAATACTTTGAATAAAATGTTTTATACTTTCCCATTAATAATTAGTGTTTTATTTTCACAAAAAACGCTCATTTCATACCGGTATACCTGGTAGATAAAAAAAATTAAAATACAAATAAAGGTTGCTGATGGGAAAGAAGAGGGGCAAATTTAGACAAACAGTCGGCAAATGTAAATCAGTCAGTCAGCAAATTTCAAAAAACGAAGACTTTTTTTTTAGTTGGCAAAAACTGTAATGGGACTGACCCCTCCCCCCATCCACGTGACGGAACTGTTGCGTTAGACACAGCGTAAACTTTAATTACCAGGTTTTTTTTACATATTTCAAGCCTAATATGAAATTTTAAAATATTGAATAAAACTATCAAAATATTAGAACATAATTATCAATTATCAATATTTATTAATAGATAAAAGCGACATGCCTCGTAAAAACCTTGTTCACCTTTCGTAAAAACCTTGTTCACCCTTCGTAAAAAACTCGTTCACCTTTCGTAAAAAACTCGTTTACCGTTCGTAATATAATTTATAGTTTTACGTTTTAGACAATTTTAAGACAACTTTTAGACAAAGTTAATGAACATTGCCGGTTTCATCAAAAATATTATAAGATCATCAGGAAAGACTTATAAAAATATTTCATTAAATATTCTCATTAAGAACTGTGCCCACATCTTTACCGTGGTTCAACTTTTTTTTTTGCTGACGATATTTTCTCCAAATCACAATCGAAGTAACAACATTTACAAATAAAAGTACAGACAATGCAATAGCAGTAGCTAAGTATATTTTAGCATTAGTACAATCTAAACAAAAACAAACAAAATAAATATAAATACTTAATATGAACAATAGTTAAAAAACATAAATGACAACTTCTTTACCAGTATTAACTGAATCTTCCCTTGTATAAAAGTAATCTCTTGATAAGTCGTTATAAAAATTGTTGCATACTGGAAAACCTTTTGGAGGCTTTGGCGCTTCGTTAACGGCCTCTGATATAATCATAGCCATGCCATCTAATGCGTGCACTTCAATATGACAATGCAAAAACCATTTCCCAGGGTTGTCTGATTTAAAACGTAAAACTGCATAACCACCTGGTAAAAGTATAGAATATAGTTCAATGAATTTCTAGAGCTTTTTATTTTCTTTTCTCTTTTTTTATTTATTCTTAAGCAATAATATTTTTAAGAACATTAAAGATAATACAACACGTTTATACATTACTTGTATTATAATTTATTGCTAACTTATATATATATATATATATATATATATATATATATATATATATATATATATATATATATATATATATATATATATATATATATATATATATATATATATATATATGTATATATATATATATATATATATATATATATATATATATATATATATATATATATATATATATATATATATATATATTTATATATATATATATATACCACTGGGTGTTTTTAAAATTGTATATACATAAAATATTTACCTGTTGGTATTATTAGAGTATCTTTTCGAGGAGGATTAATTAAATTTAAACCAGGAATATTTCCATTATCCCACTGCTTGTTTTTCCACTTTGGTTCATTGCAAAATTTTTGGCCGAATCCACAATCAATATCTTTATTTTCTGTTGCGTTAATTAATTTAGCTGTAGTGATATTTTGAGGCGCATAATCCATCTTTAAAACATAAAAACTATGACCATGCAAATGAATTGGATGCCCCCAGCCTGCCCCACTTCCAATGTTTGTAAAAATCATTTGTATTGTTTTATCACGTGGAATTTTTAGCTCATAATGGCAGTAACACACTTTATCAAGCCCACAATCATGTTTATTACAATCATAACTATCAATTTCATCTCCTTGAGTAAGAGAGTTTACTCCTGGAAACTCAAACTTTCTTCCATTTACAGCACCAGGGGTTACTTTGCTACCTGGAAATGCAAAGTTTAAAAAATATTCTTTGCTGTCAGCAGTAAATGTAGGAGACGGATCTTCATCATCAGCATTTTGAAGGTCAGACATCAGTACGCAATCAAGATTGAGATGTTCAGGAAAGTATTTAAAAGGGCAGTTTACAACTTTACAAGAACTTCCTTTTAAACAAACTTGCTTACTGGTTGTAGGTTCATTGTTAGATGCTCCCTCGTAGTGTAGAATAGCTTGTACTGAGTGATTTTGGACGCCGTCCTGTTTTAAAACAATGTTATATTAGTATGTGTTTATTTAACTATTATAAAGACTTTATTAAAATAAACTTTTATATGACTTTTCAATAATGACTGATATTAGGGAGACCTCAACGATGATGGAAGAAAGTATGAACCCCTGACAAGTGATGTTAGTCACTTTTTATTAGACTTTTTTAAAACATTGGTGAATTAATCGCAGCCCTGAGAACAAATTTACACCTATATCAGTCCCCTGATTTATTCTAATCGGATCTTACAACAAAAGTACTCTTACTATCTGTCCTTATTCTTTTGAATATTTTATATTGAATATTTGCTGGTTTTTACTTGATGTGAGGAAGTCGTGTGACTTTAAATGTAAAAGACTAAGAGTGCTTAGTAGTGGTAGTAGCGGTAGTAGTGGTAGAAGTAGAAGTAGTAGTAGTAGTAGTAGTAGTAGTAGTAGTAGTAGTAGTAGTAGTAGTAGTAGTAGTAGTAGTAGTAGTAGTAGTAGTAGTAGTAGTAGTAGTAGTAGTAGTAGTAGTAGAGTAGTACAAGTATATAATTTTACCTCCATACTTTCCGTTCTGATCCAATAATTATCTATTGTTTTATTAGCATTTAGTATAAAGTCAAAACGCTCTCCAGGGTGAACGATAACAGATTCAGCTGAGTATGGCTTGATATCATAACCATCTGATGCAACAACGCTAATCTCGTGCCCATCAACTGAAATACGCATTGGGTAAATAGTTCCAACGTTGATCGATCGAAATCGATACTTTAATCCATGTTTTACTGTATACCAAGTTAGCGGAGCACCATTATCTTTCCCTAAAATGTTATGTTGAAACAAGTTAAAACTTTTTTTTTTTTTTAAAAAAACTGTCAAATTACAAAATTACTAAAAAAGTCATTAACACATTACAGCTTGAAAAGGGAAAAATTAAAATTAAGTAAAAGAAAATGAAATTTTTAAGTAGGAGTAAAATTATCAAAAGTTTTTAAAAAAGATTTTATGATGATTTTACAAAATTTTTAGTTTTTGTTTTTTCAACTTTCTTTTCAATTTTTATACTTAGTCTGCTCAAGGAAGCTTGAGCTTGCTTGAGTGTGCTTGGTGTGTGCTTGGTGTGCTTGCTTGAGCACACCAAGGAATGAATGAATGCTCGCTTGAGCAGAGAACATTGTTCACCGCTTTTTCCATCAACCAAAGCTCAATCTTGCGTGACTCGTCAAGCAAACTATCATCCTTTTTACTCCAATGTAAGAATGTGCTCCGAGATGGAGATCTTAATTAAAACTATATTTATGTTATTGTAACTTTATGAAGGCATTATATAGAAAATAAGCGATAAGAAATGTTGTAGTTTATCATTAAATTGGCGACGAAGATAAAAGAAAATAAATTTAAAATAAAGTAAAAAATTAACGAAGATTTTAATAAAAAACGTATTTATCCATGGCTATAAAAAACCTTAATTTACCAAACTTTTCACCGTTTTCATCTACTGAAGAAGCAAGTAAGTTATTTTCAAGCTGGAAACGATACATTAAACGATTTGAGCTACTTTGTAATTACAGACAATAAACAAAAACTTTCGTTACTTCTAACTTTAATTGGAGATAACATTTACGAAATTTATGAAAACATTATACCTCAAGATACGCTAATCACATACCAACAAGCTGTCGAAGCTTTTAACGAACATTTCAAGCCCCAAGTAAACCTGAGCTATGAAATCTTTATTTTTCGCAAGATGGCTCAACGTATAGACGAAACCACTCAGCAGTTTTTCGTTCGATTAAACGAACAAGCTGTCAAATGCGAGTTTGCTGATAAGGATAAAGAAATTAAACAACAAATTGAGCTTTGCACAAATATTTCAAAACTACGGAAATACAGTTTCCAAAATACTAACAAAGCTCTACAGGACTTGTTAACTACTGCCAAAACATTTGAGCTGATGGACCATCAAATAGAAGAACTTGAGAAAAAAACGATAAAACAAAAAGAAGTAAATACAGTAGAGAAAACAAAATTTCCACAAACCAGTCAAGCGCCACATGAGACAGAAACTAAGTCGCTAAAAAGAACTTGCTACCGATGTGGAAACGAATTTCCACACACGAATATATGTTTAGCTTTGGGGAAATCTTGCCACTCCTGCGGGAAAATCGGACATTTTGCAACAATCTGTAAAACTAGAAAACAAAACGAACAGAATACAAGAATACATCAAGAGAAATACAAAAGAAATGAACAAGGTTATACGAAACCATTAAATACAATTTATAAAGATATCAATGAATCCGAAAATCCTCAGTCAAAGTTAAATGAAGGAAAATTGTACTCTGTCAATGCTAAACAGATATCTAACGACGGACTTGAGAACTTCGAGGTAGCAATTAACATAGAAAATATACCAATAACCGTTCTAATAGACACCGGAGCTTTGATAAACATTCTAAACTTTAAAACATTTGAAAAGATTAACAACTTCTTTAAAAGACTACTTCGACTACAAAAATCTAAAACACAGATTATTACTTACGGGGATAAAAATCCAAAGCTCAAAATAGAAGGACAGATCAATGTCGTGATAGAAAGTCAAACCAAATTTCGTCAGTACACATTCCACGTAGTTAAAACACACCACAAAAATCTGTTATCTGGAAATGATGCTAAGTTATTCGGTTTAATGCAATTAAATACTGACGTCAATAAGAAACTTTTAAACAAAGGCCAAAGAGAACAAAATAACCATGACGATAGTAAAAACAAGTTTTCCATTCTTTGCAGAACTTAAGCAAATTAAACAATACTCTCCTTCTAAACGCTCCAAAACGATAAAAAACACTTATAAACTCATACAAAAATTCTGTTTTTAGCGGTAAAATAGGAAAACTCTCCAACTACCAAGTAAAATTGAAAATTAATGAAAGTATACTACCAGTTGCACAAAGAGAAAGAAGAATTCCCTTTGCACTTAGAGAAAAGGTTAAAGTTGAACTTGCAAAACTTGAAGCAGAAGGAATAATTGAAACGGTAACAGACAAAGCGACACCCTGGATAAGTCCAATGGTCATTGTGCCAAAAAATGACAGCAACCTAAGAATTTGCGTAGACATGCGAGCAGCTAACAAAGCTATTGGAAGAACGCGTTTTCCAACTCTAACCCTGGACGATGTTTTTATTAAACTAAAAGACTCCGCCGTTTTCTCGAAACTAGATTTAATGAAGACATTTCACCAGCTCGAACTTGCACCGGAATCTCGATCAATAACTACTTTTCAATCCGAAACTCAAATTAAACGTTTTAAAAGACTTAATTTTGGAGTGAACCCCGCGCAGGAGGAACTATAAAACGCTTTACGAGAAGTTTTAAAAGATGTAGAAGGTACTTTGAACATTGCCGACGATGTTCTAATTTTCGCTTTGAATACAAAAGAGAACGATTCAATATTACATAAAGTATTAGAAAGATTGAAACAGAGAGGTTTGACTCTAAATTTTGAAAAATGCTTATTTGGAAAAGAAAAAGTCAAATTTTATGGATTTATATTTTCAAAAGAAGGAATGCAACCAGATCTGGAAAAACTTCATAATATCAAGAACATGCCAACGCCAGAAAACACTAAAGCTCCTCTAAGTTTTCTCGGGCTTATGAACTATTTTAAACGTTTCATTCTACACTACAGTACAATTACTTATCCATTGAGAAACCTTCTGCATAAAGATTCCTTATGGAACTGGAACCTTGAGTGTCAGCATGCATTTGACAAACAAAAAAACGCTATGACATTGGACTCATGTGTCGGATACTTCAATCCCAACAAAGAGACTACTGTCTTCACCGATGCAAGTCTTGTAGGCATATCAGCAGTCATTGTTCAAAACACTTCAAATAAACACAATTTTAAACTAATATCTTATAATTCAAAAGCGCTATCGCCTGTACAACAACGCTACTCTACGCTCGAAAGAGAATGTTTAGCTATAGTATACGCCTGCGAGCATAACAAAACATACCTATTTGGACACCCTTTAAAATGCACAGCCACCATGAAGCTATTGTAAAGATTTTAAACAACCCAAACGCTACAGTACCACTTCGCATTGAGCGTATGACTTTACGATTACAGGGATATTCTTTTGATCTACACTACGTAAAAGAAAAAAAATATATATCTGATTATTCTAGTCAACACCCTGTAGACCCTTGTGAGGACGAAAGGCTAGAAAAATATGTCAATTTTACAGCTGAATACGCATGTTCTAAAGCCCTTTCACTACTGGATATTCAAAGAGAAACTAAAGCAGATCCTATTCTACAAATACTTACAGAGTTAATTACTACTAATACCTGGCATAAACTTTTACATCCGAATCGTCCGCCAGAACTAAAAAAATTTCAAAAAGACTTACTTGCTTACCGTAATATACGCCAAGAACTTACAGTAAATCAGACTTCAGACCTTATTCTATAAGCAAATCGAATTGTAATTCCAACTTTCTCTGGAAATTACGGATATACAGCTTGCTCATAATAGTCACATGGGACTTGAGAAAACCAAATCATTACTTAGAGAAAAAGTTTACTTTCCTGGTCTAGACACTAAAGTAGAAGAATATAAAAAACGATGTGCAATTTGTCAAGCCCTTGGTAAACAAAATGCACCAGCCGAACTATTAATCACACCAACACCATGGAATTTTGGGACACCGTTAATATAGATTACCTTGGTCCTTTACCTAATGGATTTTATTATATATACCAAACATCAAAATTTCCGGTTGTCGATATTATTACATAATACATCTGCTGACCTCCTTATTGATTTTCTACAGAAAACAATTGCAGTATATGGAATACCGAAAACGATTGTCAGCGATAATGGACCACCTTTTACTTCATTCAAAATAAAGATGTTTTTGAACAAACTGAATATTCAACATAAACGAATCACCCCGCTTTGGCCGCAAGCAAACTCACAAGCCGAATCCTTTATGAAACCTCTGATTAAAACAATACAAGTAGCACACATTGAACAGAAAGACTTGAAAAAGCAATTATATAGCTTTCTGTTTTCCTACCGTACCACACCCCATTGCACAACCCGAATACCACCAACTACACTCATGTTTAATCGCGTAACAGGTTTTGCAATACTTTCATTCCAAACAAGTGTCGATACAAATATCAATGATCAAGCCAAAAAGAGACAATAAATTGCTAAGTTATACAGAAAAAAGCATCACGATTTAAAATACTACGCAAAAAATCCAAGTTTAAATATCAGGGATACAGTACTAATTAAACAAAAAAAATATAACAAAATTACGGCACCATTCGAGTTCAAACCCTACACAATTACTGCAAGGAATCGTACAATGATCGCTGCAAAATCTCCCGTCGACAATTCTCAAAAAAACTCAAAATGCTTCACACATGAAGAAAGTACTAACGGATATACAATTTAATCCGATACTAATTAAAGAAGAGAAAGAGGAAGAATACCTCCAGAACGAATCAATTTTGCCAGAAAAGGAAATAACAGCTACTATGCCGACACAACTAAGAAGCTATCATCAAGAACCGATTCTGAAGACATATTCTAACAGAGAAAGACGTCCTATAGAATTATGGAGGAAGTATTAAAACATTATAAAACACTAACAGTAAAACATTTCATTTACAGAAGAAGGGGAAGATGTAAGAATGTGCTCCGAGATGGAGATCTTTATTAAAACTATATTTACGTTATTGTAACTTTATGAAGGCATTATATAGAAAATAAGCGATAAGAAATGTTGTAGTTTATCATTAAATCCAACAGGCTCAAAAAATATTTTACTCAGTTTTTTCTTCTCATATTGTTGCTTTGGAATTGGATGACAGGAATAGTGTTGAAAAATGAACATCGGAATAGGTAGATTATATTAAAGAAGCCATTCATTTGCAAAACTGCTCTTTTTTTTTTTGTTTTCGTCACTCTTCCGATTTTACTATTTGCGATGCTATTTCTTTTTTTTGTTTTATTTTTGAGGCTGTTCATTAAACTTCTTTGCAGCATTGTTCCTTTTTCTATTTTCGACGCTATTAATTAAATTCATTTGCAATATTATTCCTTGTTTGTTACAAAAATACATTTTTAAAAATTATCTTCTCAATGATGGTGTGAAAGGAGAGACTCAGAGGAAAATTGTGTTCTTTCCCCTCATACTGGGCCTTTTTTATTTTTTTTTTATAAAACCTAACCTGTATTTGGATCTATGTATCTTCCTTTTCCTTCTATTAAAGCTGAAACCCATGGTACACCAGAAAACAAACCACCATCAACAGTTTGGGATACATTGAATGGTTTCATTCCAATAAAATTACCATACACCATTTTTAAATAAACTTCCTCTGAAGTTTTATGATGCCAATCACCAACTGTCATAATAACATCAGTTATTTTTTCAGTGTTGACCTTTTCACGTTCCTTAATTATAAATGCACCATATGCTCCGTTTGTGCGTTGAGATCCAACATGACTATGGTACCAAAATGTTCCTTTTGGCTCAGCCTAACACAGAAAAAAGTATTTGAATAATAAAAATAATGACAAATATTAAAAAAATTATTTTTTGCTAAATATCTGATTGCCAAGTCTTGGCATCGTATATATTATTAATAAACAATTATCCAAGACTTATAAAGCATAGTATATTTTGTAAATGAACAATTAAGTTTAAAAACCATGTGCTGTTATTTAATTTTAAAATAAATAAACCATGTGTTTTATTTATTTTAATTTTTTAAAATAAATAAAATACATTTAAAAGAAGTAGTGAATGCACTGAAAATTCCCTGGGAGCTACAGTGATTTTTCAAATATAATAAAACTTATGATAATTTCATTTATTAGAATTAGTACGAGACTTATGTATGGTAGAATTACATTAACTTTAGGGACTGGGGCAATCATTATACATATAATGATTTGCGTAATTATTTCCTTTACTTATTACCACGATAAGATTATTGTAAGAAAATATATTTTTTATCTAAAGAATATTGGGCTAAAGACATGAAAATATTTTCTTATCTATTAAAGTATTTAAAACAAACAAACATGTATTATAACAAAATATTTACAAAACCACTATGTTGCTTATAAAATAGGGATTTCAGCTTTTGTTTTATGCTCATTTTCAGCTTCATTTTTAAGCAAATCAGTTTCAAATTTAGATTAAAGCTAAAGCTGAAGGTGATTGAGCCTATTCAATCAGCTTGAAAGCTAATTCCTCCTCAGCTACTATCATATGATAGTGGCTGAGGAGGAATTACTCCATAATTATATTATATATAAAAAATGTAAGTAATTATTTAGTGAAAATCAAAAAAAGTGACACAATTTAAACATACATAAAGTAAACTTAAATCAAATTTGCTAAAAGTTGTTGCATTTTATATACGTTGCTGTCAGGCCTGGGTTTATTTATAGGACGTCTAGGCGATAGCCTTGAGGTCACAATTTTGGGGGACCTAATATGGATTCAATTTTGTTTTTAATATACTAGCGTTTTTAAAAATCTGTTTAAAAAGTATATTACTTTCATGATTGTAAAAATTGCTGCACAACGATTAATGGATTGCGTAGTATTAATATTTACGCAGTCTATTTACGCAATCGATTGCAAAACTAAAAATTTCTTCGAGATTAATTCCGCACAAAGGAATTCTAAAATAAATGTAAATAAAAGATAGATATTAAAAAATATATAATATATAATAATACGACTGTTTGTTTTATTTGTTTATTTTGTTAAGGTTTCACTCCATTGATTAGTTTTTAGTTGTTTGAGTTACAGCTAATTTTATGTTTAATATCAATCCTAATTTTATAAATAATAATAAAATGGTTTGAATTTAATTTTTTAATTTTCATTTTTTAAACTTTTATCTTGGGTAAAAAAAATGTTAAAACTAAATTATCTTAATAATATTTAGTGATGAATTGTTTAACAGAAATTGTTAATCAAAGTCAGACATGTTGCCATTAAAACTCCCAGATTTTTTAGTTGACAAAACTAGATGAACATATTCTAGATGAACATATTAGCTGGAAAGAGCATATCAAGTTGTGAGAAAATAAAACATTTAAAAGCATTGGGATTATGCATAAAACTAAGTATATTTTAAATAAAATATATCTAAAAAGTTTATACTTTGCATTTGTTTATATCTACATTAGCTACTGCAATGTTGCCAGGGAAAGTACTAACCAATCAAAACTAGCCTTAGTCTATAAAAAGCAAAAGCAAGCATGCTGCATATTCACAAATAGATATGCTTGTGCTAATCTAATAATGAAAGAACTTAGAGTTCTTAATTTTTATGAACAAAATAAAATCTTGAGCATCCATCAGTTTATGTTTAAATTAAAAAATAATTCTTCCCAAAAATATTCTATAATTACTTCCAACTTATTGATCATAAATACGAAACAAAATATTCAAAGCAGAACTACTATATTCCAAAAACGTCTTTAAGACAATCCAAGTTCTCAATATCTAGAAGAAGACCACAATTGTGAAACTCATTTCTCACAAATGAGATTAAAACGATAAACTCTTTCCAACATTTTAAATGCGTTGTTAAACAACAGTTACTTGACATCAACATTACTGAAACAATATCTTATTTTTAAAAACTCTTAAACGTCTTGAAATTTTTTATTTATTTCCACAATAGCTGGAAATGGCTATGGTTATATTTATAAAAATGTATTTAGTTGTATTTATATTTATTAAGATACATTTATTTAGCTATTTTAACCATACGAGTTTTTATATTTATATATATTTAAATATCTAATAACTTGTGTTTATCTTATATTTAACTGATATTTATTGTAAAATCAATTGAAATTAACGGGGCAAGATGATAAAACGATTGTCTTCTGCTTGTTCCAGTCAGTTCGTTACGTTAACAATTTTGTAAAAAAAAATTTATATTGACGAAAAAGATTATATAACTATCTATATATATCTATCTAAATGTAAACTGAATTGTTTAGTATAAACCACTGTCTTAAAAACATTAGGTCCGGGGTGTTCGACGCCGGACCTATTGTTTTTAAGATAATAGGTCCGGCATCGAACCATCTAGCCCAATAAACGACATTGGTAAGCTACTTACGCTCTTCCTCGCCCCTCCTCCGTCTAGATTTCTAATAAATAAAATTTATTAAATATAAAGTGCTCTCTAAATAAAATTTTTTTTTTCTAGTTGGACCTTAGCACGAAACTTTTTAAATATTGAAAAAATATAAAATTCTTATTTGTTTAACTCTTATTATTTACCTCAAGTTGGTTTTTTATTTACTCCAAGTTGGTTTTTTATTTTCAAACCATTTAAAAACACATAATGCTATTATCAGAAAAAAAAAAAGCTAAAAACAAAACAAAAAATTGTTAATGATTGGTTTTAACATATGGTCAAGGTGTCCATTTGCATTGGGCCGACCTGCCCCGTTGTAATGTTTAAAGAATAAACGCTTTTATTTTTAAACCATTAACAAACATTATATACTAAAATAATCTTTAAATTTTAAGCTTTAAATTTAGAACTCGAATAATGCATTACTGTTGAACACCAGTGAGCATAATAACGTCGAACAAGCTATTCAATATTTACTTTAATGTATCAAAACTTGCTAAAACGGCTCCACACTTCTAACTATAATCCAAGAAATATATAATTTTTTTTTAGAAAAAGGGATGAATTACTCCTAAACTTCAGATTCCCAGCTCACTAAAGTGCATAGTCTTTGAATAAAATTAACGAGGCTAACGAGATGATTAATGAGGACCAACCTGACCTGGCGTATATGAGATTTTTACTCCCATTATGAGATTTTTACTGCCATAGAATATATTGCGGTAAAATGTATTTTAGGATTTTTTTGTATTTTGACAATATTTTTAAACTTTTAAAAGTCGTGGCTTTTTGAAAAGCATTAAAGAAGCGATACTGTTTAATATAAACATTATTTTAAATTTTTGCAACGATTAAATCAATTGACAAAATGTTAGGCAATATTAATAAACAAAATGTTGCCGTATTTGAACGTTCAAAAGACGTCTTATTTAGGTCCTTTGCCCATTGGCTTAAGTATGGCTGAGTACTGCGAAATAATATGTGCTGAACTTTGATAAACATTAAAACCAGAAACGTTTCGAGGGAAGGGGGGCGTAGGGGTAAGAAAGTTTATTTGGCCTTAGTCGGGAAAAAAAAGGATACGTCACCCTCCTCCTCCTTTATTAAAATCTTTTCGGGACAGCCCTGTTTAAGGCTGACGTGTAATTCCATTTGTATGCAATTAAAATTCTTCCAGATGGTATTAAATATCTTTAAATTTACTAAAAAAAAAACTCAAATACTTTTATACTTGCTTGTCCATCTTATCTTCCATAGATGAGGAATATTTGTAACAGAAGATCTCTGTTTTAAACTTTCACAAAAAAATACAATAGTTGGTTTTATAGTGCCAATAATATTTTGTACCACCGAAACATCTTTTAGATCATTATCTACGAGATTAAGTTTAAGATGTGAAGCTTAGTAGACAAAAACGGATTTGGGGTAAACCAATTAAATTTTTGCCTGAATACCATTTTCTTTCCCAGCCAGTGAGGAACAGCAATCATAAAAAATTTCCACACAATATTATTGTAAAAATAATAGAATACAGCTTCTTTCAGTTATTTTCAAAGGTTTGTTTTACTGAACAATCTATCTGATAAATAATATTTTTATTTAGATCTCTTATTGTTGATGCAAAATGTTCAGTATCTCGCTGAGCCCCTCGTTACCATACTGAGCTGGCATGGTTTTGGCACGTTCAGTAAAATTTTTCTATTTTGTAAAAAGATTAGTAATGAAGACACCTTAAATTCCTTTAAACAGGTTTTGGAAATTAGTCACAAAATACCCAAAACAACTTTTTATTTGTGTGAATATGATAACAATTGAGTATACTAGGTATTTAAAAATGTCACCTGTGAAATCGTAGGGTGGATGAGGCTGGTAAAGATTAATTAGCAAACAATACTTAAGGTCAATTGAAAATTTTTTAGTACATTTTATAAAGAGTCCATCTCATTATTTTTTTATTTTTTTATTTTATTTGTTCTTTTAGGTGCTCCAAGAAGACCTAACGGTCTTGTCACAGAGCACCGCGGAAGTGCATTTAACCAGAAAGTTCACGCCTCCCTCCTTACCGTGAAGCGAAATATGTCCAAAGCTCGTTTCGAACCTGGAAATTATTTAACCTAGTATTTTTATCAATCTCATTATATAACCTAGTATCTGACAAACTTTAAGTTTGTCAGATTCTTGTTCGAGAAATAGTGCTGCTGATGATAAACCAACAACATCTTCTGTTTTCAGCTTTTTGCAGTTTTTTATTAAAGAATAAATGTTTTAGTTAGAGAAAAGTTTGAAAAAAGCAAAAAGATTTTAGCAAACAAAAAATTTCTTTTATTGATGATCTTTTTGTATTATATTATCAACTCATTTCATTATTTTATCAACAAATTTTTGTGCTTAATTTGTTGTCAAAATTAATTTTATTAAGTTCAATTAGTTTAGTTGAAATAGATTAACATTTATGACATAATTTCAATGTGTATGTAAATGAAACGTATGTAAATGTTTTATGTTTACTTTTTAGGTAAATTTATTTTTGTTGTACCATTTTTTTATATATATCGCAATTTTTTGTGGACTATTTTGTTTATATGTTCAGTTAATCTTTTTAAATAGAGTGTATTAAATATATAACTTAGGCCGAAATAAGGAGCCTGGGAAAAAAAAAGCCGCGCCATTAAAAAACGCAATCTAGGTATGCTTTTAGAGCATTTTTTTTTTATATATCAATTTTTACCTACTGGTTAGGTACGACTAGGCTCCTTCGGCCCAAACACCTATATATAAGAAAAGCGATCTTTTAATCATTACTTTAAGAAGTAACTGCTGAGCTAAAGGTATATATACTATTAGGACAGTGGAGCATTTTTATCAGATTGTTCACTTCCAATAAAAAAAAAAAAAAAATACCAACAAACAAAAAAGTAATATAATATAAATAAAAATAGTTAATATTTTAAATACGCTTGTTCTTACACACTATTTGAAAAAAATTTCTTTTTGTTAAACACTAATTTTTTATTTTAAACACTAATTCTTTATGTTAAACACTAAATCTTTATGTTAAACACTAATTCTCAATATTTTTAGTACTGTGTACTGACAAGTTTAATAAAGGAGTCAGGGTAACAACATAAGTTTTTGCTATGACTAATAACATCTGTCCAACAACAGCTTTAAATAAAATGATGTGTAATAACATTTTTCCAACAACATCTGTAAATACACTGCGATATAATAACATCCGTCCATCAACATCTGAAATTTTATTAATGTCTAATAATCACTGTGTAAAAAATATTCCATTATTAAAGATGTAGTTACATCTTTTTAATTATCTAAGTATAATAACATCTATACAACTACATATATGAATTCTACAGATGTAGTTATACCCTTTTTTTCAATTATATTAAATATAACTACAAGATTTTATGAAATTATTAAACTATAATGCATTATATTAACCAGATGTAGTTGCATATATGCTTTTTTGCAGATGTAGTTATATCTGGAAAAAAATATTAAATATTAATGAATTATTTTAACCAGATGTAGTTTTATGTATGATTTTCTCAGATGTAGTTATATCTGGAGGAAATTCTTCCAGATGTTATTGGATAAATTAACAGATATAGTTACATCTTTCTAAAGTTAGCTAGAGATGTTGTTAGAGATATTGGGTCATTGAATTTCCAGATGATATTAGACAGATATTGTTGGAGTAAAAATAAAATACAGATTACTGTGGACAAAAGTGTACAGATGATCTTGGACTACTCTACAAATGTTGTTGGACAGATTGCAGCCCCAAAGGGACTGGGGCTGCAACCTAATCAGCCTTCGCCCCCTACCACCAAAAAAATTAATTAAAAATGCGTGTTTTTTATTGATTTTTTTTTAAATCTGCTCATAGAGTAAATAAAAACTTGAAATCATTTTGGTCTCAATACTCTCCTCTCAATTGTCAATTATTAAAAAACTTTTCAACCCCCCCCCCCTCCCTCACTCTTCACTGTCATCATTTATGGGTGGCCCTTAAATAAAAACATTTCAAAATCAATTTTCTTATTCGAGCGCAGTTAAAGCAGTTCACAATGAGCTTAAAATAAAAACTAATCCTTTGATATTACAATAAATAATGTACGCTTTTGTGTTATGTATATAATAAACGATATTTAGTGAACGCTTTTGTGTTATGTATTTAATAAACGCTATTTAGTGAACGCTATTTAGACAGGTAGTCTTTCAGTTATCGTATTCAATCTTTTTATTTACCCTAAAAGTTCGTTTTAAAATCTTTGAAAAAGAAGTTCAACTTCTTTACTTAAAAATAAACGGTATTTATTAAAATATTGAAAGTCTTTTTACAAAAATGTAATTTTTTTTTTTATCTTGCGTAAACAAGTCAAAGTTTTCTTTACAAAGAAAAACTCTATTGCTGTTTTATTGGTGTTTTAATGATCTTGTTTAATTCTTCACAAAGAAAAACTCAGTTGGTATTTTAATGATCATTACAATTAATTATTATTTAATTAACTATTAAAATATTTTTGTTAACAATTTGAAGATATTAAAAAAAGCTTTATTACAAAAATTTTATTATATGAAATTTTAACAAGTTTTTAGCGGTCCTTGACAACAAGACTTTGCGGTCTTTGACGAGTCGCCGCGTTTGTTTATTTCTTTATAACAGTCTCATAAATTTTTATTATATATTTGGTATTTATTATTTTATAACGGCTAGCTTTTTTGAAATGTAATAACAACAAAATATTTAAAAAAAAGGATCGAATGAACGAATAAAGTTTATTACTTATTACCTTGAATTTGTAGGTGAATGTTTGACCAGCAGAAATAGGACATTGAGATATCCATCCTACGCCATCCATAAAAGGGGTTCCTTTTTGATGCAATCCGTGCCAATGCAAGGTGGTAACATCACTTAGTAACATATTTTTAACGTGAATGATTAAATTTTGATGCTCGTAAACAACAATTGGTGGGCCAGGTAGTGTACCATTGATTACAATTACCATTCGGTTTTCTCCATCTGCTGAAATCACATCATCTAAGGGTATCTACATAACAAAAATCAAAGCATTAGACTTGATAAATTTATCCTTATAATATATTTATAACTTTAACTATAGACCTTTGTTGCGTTCGGGCCTGGAGATTCGTTATACAGAAATAAAGAACCACCAGAAGGATAAAGTAAATTTTTCTTATATATCATTGTTAGTTTCTCTTTTATCTCTAACCAGAACTCGCATTCATTCTTTTTGGGACTACATTCGTTGTATTTGTAATCAAGCGGTATTTCGATAGCAATAACAAATTCGTGGATAAGCAAAATTAAAACTGTTCCTTTAAACAACATCTCCGATAAAGTTTTAGAGTCAAATTTAATAATAAATTTTCGGAGGCTGTTTGTAGAAAATGATATTGAGAGGTGCGTAACAAAACCAAAATATGCAATCCTAAACAAAATAAAACAAAGCAAAAATAACTATTTTAACACGTATTGTAAATTATCATTAATTGTGCTGTTTAAGGTTTGAAAAATATTTTTATACTATTCCATGCTATTTAAATCTGTAATGACAGGATGTCAATATGTAAAATTTTGTTTGTTCTGCGACAGTTCGTAAAGATAATCAAATACTGTTTTTATATATTTTTATACTGTTTCTAAATTTTACATTACACACCTATGTTTACTAATCAAGAGTATTATTTGTAAAACAGTTTTTTTTCAATTTTATTGAAGATTTAATTCTGAACAAAATTAATTCTCAGATATACAAAAGCAAACAAATTTATTTTTAAATACAATGAAAGTGAAAGTCTGTAATCGCTTATCGCTTATAATTAATACTTAACTTACCACTGGTGCCGCTGCTGCTCCCCATTCGTGCGCGTTTACACGGACTTTTTTTAATATTTATCATAAATAGGATTTAACATGCTATTTCTTAAACTTACGCGATGAGGTATTCTCAAAACTTAATAATCTGTCAATACCTGCCTATTCAGTAATAAGACTGAAAAGTTAGCTTCATCAGCTTAATTAGTAATAAGATCGACAATTTTTATTTGATAACATCTGCAGTAAAGGATGAACTTTATGTTATTTTTGAATTAGTAAAGTAACTTAGTCAGGTAATTTATTTGATTCATGCATTATAATAATAACACAATTCAAGTTCTTTGTCAATTGTATTTAAAATATATTAATCTGTAATTTTTAAATTAAAAGACGATGATGGCTTTAGAAAATGTTGCTCTTTTCAAAGATTAAACTCTTCATAAAGTTAGTGTTTATCTCCAAAACCCTTGCATCTCTCACGATCAACAACAAGATCGTTTTATTAGGTACGCCTAATTTCGGCTTTTACGGAAACGTTTTTTTAGGCCAAATTCTGTGCCACGCGTTTTTGAGTTTGTTTTGCGTTAGTGATATGCTGTGTTTAGTGGTCTTATTTTTTATAATTTGATATCAACATATGTATTATTAAAAAGTAGAAAAGTTGAAATTTTTTTTTGTGTATGTTTATTTTTTTTTTAAGTATCTAACGTTTTTATTGACTTTACTAATGTTAAAAACTTAGTTGTTAATTAAACCTCAAGCTTTAACCCAAGGTATGTCGGTTCATTTTTTAAAATTATTTGCAACTGTTTATAATCCTTTTTTCTTACCACCTGCCAAATTTCATCCAAAAATTTGGATGCTCAAGTAGCCTTCTAGAATGCTCTAGTGGAGTATATATTTTAGGCAAAACCAATCCCAAACAAAAACGGGGGAAGGAGGGGGTTCACTGTTTTTTTATTATAACATTTGTTACATTAGTAGGGTAGATTAGGGTAATATGAGCACCTTGGTAATATGAGCATACTTAAAGATTTATTAGATGTAAGCAGTGAAGTTAAAGTTGCTTTATGTTTTTCGAATCGACTTTATGTGGTGATAACAAGAATCAGTACAATTGGCGTAAATTTATACGCAGTAATTAGCGGATATCATCTAATTAAAACTCATTAATCAATTAAAAATCATCACGCGTGAATAATTCTGTGGTGCGATAATTTGGTGCTAAAATAATGAAATTAATTTTTTCACAAAGAAAAATATATTAGTTAAAAATCCAATTTATTTTTGTTTGAAAAATAATGCATAGAAACATTTATTTTTGACTTTATTTAAAGATACCATTTTTGTGTAATATGAGCATGCTCAAATTACCCAGTGCTTTTCATTGAAATTGCTTAGTTTAAAGTCCTAAAATAGCAGTGGTTTTTAATTGCTTCTTGAATAAAAACAAAACATAGTCAAAAATTTTAATATATTAACAATATTAAATATTTTTCTGTAACTTAAATCTAAAAAATTTTAATTTTTATTGTTCAAAGGTTTGAGTTAACAAAATTGAAAAAACAATGTATTAATTTTTTTTTTTTTTTTGGCGGAAAACATAGTAGTATTGATTCAAAAAAATGTAGCTTGAAATTTGATCTTTTAATGATATGTTTTGTTAATCACGAATCCTTATATTCCAACAATTAGTTCTATTAAGCAGGTTGGTCTTTTTTTACTTAATTAATGCTATTTTTTTGAGCTAATTTAAAGTGCTCATAATACCAAGGGGTCAGGGTAATACGAGCACTTTTGCTACTTTTTTAAAACCTCTGTGTTTTTAAGAAAAAATGTCAAGTGCCCAAATATCTAAATAGATTATAAATAGGGATCCCTAAAAATTGTTTATTTGCAAAAATTTTGGATCCACCATATTTATTTTTGAAAATATTCAAATTTTTGTTTAAAGTGCTCATATTACCCTAATCTACCTTAAATACTAGCAGTAAGCAACCCGTAATACGGGTTGTTAGTAAATAAAATTAAAAAAAAACAATCTACAAACTACTTTAAAATAGAAAAGCCTAGAAAATGACGCAAGACGATTATTAACTACTATTATTAAATTAGCGTATATTATCAGATGTACATAACTTATAACATAAGACAAAATTTAAATTGTTCACTAATTAAATTATTGTCATCCAGTAATACAAAAAATACAGTTTTTTGTTTTTTGTTATTAATTCTACTGTCAATAATTGAAAACAACTGAAATATTATCTGAAATGTAGTGAAAGTTAGGTGTTTGATAAGGTTTTTCTTATCTTACTAAGAGCTAAATACCTAAGTTTAGTTTTGATAGCATTTTAAATGAGGTAAATGTTATTTAAGTCCATAATCCAATAATTTAAATGATTAATCCGAGGTAACTTAGTATAATAGTTAATGTAATTTTCAATAATTTAGGGATTGAATTATAGTAGGTACGCAGATATCGCGATTTACGGAACCGATTTTTTTGCTAAAATTTTGGTTCTCGTTTTTTTAACTCTTTTTTTAGGCAGCGTGAGGCAGACGTAGTTTTGTGGAGTTTCTTTTTAGAAACAGATATACACATAGATACTTTTTGGAAAGAAGAAAAGCTAATCTTGCTTTATTTAATAAATTTATGTATTGTTATCACACTTTTTTGTCGATTATTTTGCTTCTAAATATTTTATTGATGTTCTCACATGAATTTGTAGTAGAAGAAATGTTGATCCGGTTTTTTTTTTTATTCAGACAATTTTCTACATGCATTTTCTATGCACATGCTAAATTTCAACAAAAAATAATTGGTAGCAGATAGTTTAAAATGTGTTATATTATGTATATCACTTATTTTAGGTAGCTTTAGGCAAACGTTTTTTTGTGTGTTTCTTTTAAGTAACATGTAAAAACATAAATTATTTTCATAAAGGAGGAAGGTTGATCTAGATTTTTATATGACTTTTATGTATGGTTACCCAACATTTTTATGGATTATTTTGCTGACAATATTGCATGAAAATTTCGTCCCTGCTCTCACATTAATTTGTTGTCGAAGGAATGTTGATCCGGCTTTTTTTATTAGTTTTCCTACATTTTACATGCATTTTCTTAGCACCTGCCAAAAATCAACAGAAAATAATTGGTAGCAGAAGTATACTTTTGGTACATAATTTTGGTTTTTCTGTTGTTTTTTTTGCTAAGCTTAATACGGGGGTGGATAGACTATACAAAAAAATAACAAATCCTAATATCGTATTATTATGATTTTTATTATTAGATTAAAATAAAAAATGAATTCTGACAGAAGTTTTATTGAATCTATAACAGATAGTAAGTTTAATTTTTTTTATAATAATATTAATAATAACTATTTAAAATCAAAAAATATTCATAAATCATTTATGAATATTTTCTGATTTAAAATTCTTTTTTTATGTAACATATAATTTATCTGTTTTTATATGATATAAAAACAGATTAATTTTTAATCTGTTTTTATATGTTACATAAAAAAGAAGATTAATGCTTCAATTTAAAACTTTGCTTTTGAATGTATTGTTAACTAATAGTATCTGTTGTCAATTTTATTATGACACAACATACAAATCAGATAATTCATTGGTGTATTCCTTGCAAAAGACTTGTTAGTAATTTTCAAATATAATAAAACTTATCATCTTATTATCATCTTTTATTATTTTTGGATTGTATACTTCTTTATCTGTGGATTATTATTTAAATCATAATACAAGCATGTCTAATGTTTACATGTTGTTTAGATCCTGCTCTACATTAAGAAGCCTTTTTGAGATATCGTAAATATAAATCAAATATTTTATATATAACCACAACCAATATAACCTAATTAATATATAAACAAAGTGAATAACCATTCCTAATGTTAGCTTGTTGTTTATTAATATATTTTCTTTACATTTTCACTGTTAGTTTTCATTATGTTAATACAGTTGTTGCATCTTCCACAGAATTATGATTTCTTTCTTTTCATAGTGTTTTGTTGTAATTATACACTTTTTTTTGTTATTTTTAGTTCAATCTACCCAGCCTATTTTATTTATCTTTATTACTTTTTTTATCTTTTGCAACATCTTCATCTGCAATGAGTAGTAAGTTTAGCAATTATTAATTTTTAATTTTTGCATTTCTTGACACTTCCAAATTTATTTTTTATTAAAACTTTTTAGCTCTAGTTCCATCCTCAATTGCATTGAGTGGTAAGCTTAAAAATATTTTTATTGCATCCTTCAAAAAACCTGTTCATGTATGTATTTCGGATCAATTGCAATAATTATTTTTTATTACACTTTTTTTTAACTTAGTTCCATCTACATCTGCAATAATTGGTATGTTTACAAACTTTCACTTTTCAATATGTTTATGCATTTCTTGGCAATCACAATATTTATTTTTATTTCAACTTTGTTAACCCTTAGTTACATCTTCAGCTACTACAAGTGGTAAGTTTATAAACTATTATTTTCTAATATGTGTATGCATAATATACATGTGTAAAAGTATTGTTTCTAATATGTGTATGCATATCTTATCGATAGCAAATAAATTGTAATTTTATTTTTAAAAAATTTTACCTTAAGTCCCACAACCTCCACAACAACTACAGATTTAGGGTCCAGCACCCTAGACCGATTAGTAATCGGTCATTTTTGCAGTGGGTCCGGTTAGGAGGGAATGATGGTGAATCATTCAGCTGGGCCTATCATCCTTCTTACAGAGGTGCTGGGAGCTACAGCAGAAGAGAAAGCCGTTGAGGAGGTTGTGAGAAAAGACGGAGTGGTGGCGGCTTTGTCGTGAATGGTGGCATCCACTATTACTAGGCGCCGCCATGCCTGTTTTTTTTTAAATAAATATATAACATTATCAAGTTTGTTTTCCATTTTGTCCCAATTTTTAAAATTATTAACATTTGATTTATTTATTTTAAATCTTTCACAAAATGATTTAAAAACGAAGCATTGACAGGTGTAATAGTTTGCAAGGGATCTATTTTGTATGTTTTCAATGTGATTAAAAGTTGTAGCGTAGAAAGTATTAAAGTTGTAACTATAAATAGTTATAGACTTTTTAATGCGTTTAGGATTTTTTGAGGTTTTGAGATTTTGAGGTTTTCTCATAGCCCATATTAAATGTAGTTTCTAATTTATATGTAATGTTTTATTGAGTTAATAAATGTTAAATATCTTTTGCATACCTAATTACTATTCTTTATTTTATTTTAGTTTATATACTGTTTTTTTGAGTTAAGAAATATTATTTGATTTTAGACCAGTTTAATTGTTTGATTTTAAACCAGTTTAACTTATGTTTACAGTTCCTAAATTTTATATTTACGTAACCATTACTTGTTTGTAGAAGGTATGTATGAGATTTTTTTTACATGTTTTATTATAATGTTATTAATAATTAACAAATTTTTATATATTGTTTGTTTACTTTTCAAAAAATTTAATTAAAACTTTGTATATATATATATATACCTTACCTTCACGTGGTGTCTATTGTTAAAAATGATTTATTTTAGTTTCATTATTTGAATTTTAAATAATATCATTTACTAAAAGCCAAGACATAAATTTATATATTTTGTATTTTAAAACTTTTTAAAATATAAGTTTTAAAACTTTGGTTAATTTTTAGGGTGGATACTCAAACTTGCATCTTGTAATGTGGTATAATTAGTAAAGTTATGTCTCTCTTTTTACACAATTTAAAGACATTTTTGAAATTTTTATTGACATTTTTTTTAAGTTAAAATAAGAAGAAGAGGGGGGGGGGGCGTTAGGTGTGGCACACACCCCTCCCCCCACTAACATTGTAAAATAATCTTGAATACTAATTTCTCTTTTTAAATAAACTCAGTTTAAAACCATTTTTCAAATATCTTTTAACATTTTTTTTTAGGTTGGAGAAGACTGAGAGGAAGGGGGAGGGGCATTAAGGGTGACATCGTCCCGCCCCTAATTTCAGTTTATGCACCACTGTATATGCTGTTATGTAAAAAAATATAATTTAAACTTTTTTACACAAAATATAAAGTGTTAAAAAGTTGTTTTTTAGGTTCAAATATTTATAAGATGGTAACATTTCACTACGAGGGTGTTAAAACGTAACACCCTTTAATCTAAAATCTACCACTAATATTTGGAAATGTAATGGAAGCAAATTAGAACAACTTTTTGTGTATAAAGATAACAAATTTTATCAGAAAAATACTCTTTCGTGTGAAAAACTTGCATTTTTTTAAGGTTACGATGGTGTTCCGATACCCCCTCTGGCCCTCTAGACATCCTTTTCATCTATTTTGTAGAACTTGTAGCCTACTATTACATCTATCTTTTGATACCAAGGTATAGACATTTGGATAAGATTTGACAAAGTTATAACAATTTCAGTGAAAAATAAATAAATTTTGGAACCAGTTTCTTCAAGAAATCCATATATTACTAAAAACGTCATAACTTTTTTTTAAATTGTTCGTTTTTAATAATTTTTTCACCATTAAAATACTTTATTTAAGGGCTTTCTAATGATATATAAAATTCTAGTATATGCTCAATTAAAAAAAATCAGTCTACGTACCTAATAAATTATAGACAAATAAATTATGGTAATACTTTGAATTTTGTTATATGTTGAAGCAAAAATTTATTTGTGTTTGTAAACTGATATTTTGTATATCTGTATTTATATAATATATCTATATACAAATACAGATATAAAAATATATATCTGTATTTATATAAGTTATCTAAATTATTTATTACTCGTTGTCTTTAAAAAGTCAATGATAGACTTATGTCTATGGTAACCTTTTTTAGAGTAAATTTTTGTTTTTTTATTTTAGCTCCATGTTTTTTTGTAGTTGTCATGGGACCCAAAAAAATGTTTTTTATGGTGAAACTAAAAAGGATTTAACTTCTACTTTTGCATTTTTCTTTACAAATAACATTGATAGTACGACAGATACACAATTTGTAGGAATGGAAATATACTTTTTATATTAACAAGCAATGGTGAGTCATTTCAAAAAACTACTCAACAAGTTGCAGAACAATATAACCTCATAACTAGTAAAACACAGATAATGCATCTTGTAAAAAAATCACAAGTTTGGGCAAAATACTTTTCAAGGTGTGTGGACTATAAACATTTTATTGAATTTTGTAATGTTTATTCCTCATCTTTAACAGCACATTCATCGCAAACTACTCAAAGTAGTTTAGTCCACACTTTTACATATTCTTCAGTAGTCTCATCATCATTGACTAGTAAACCTTCAACATCTGCAGTTTATTGCCACGAAGGCATTAGATAAGCATGTTTCTAAAAAAAATTTACTCTTAATGAAAAAAAACTAAAATCTCGGTTATCTTACTTGCACAGAAGCTTTAATTAAAACTAAGTTAAAGAGAGTTAATAAAATAAGGGTTTTAAGGAAAAATATTTAAAGAAAAGAAAAAATAATCGAAGCTTCAAGGGCAGAAATTAGAGACTTGAAGAAAAAAATTAAAACAAATTACTGCACTGAGTGTATTCATAGTTTGTAGGCACAAAAAAGGCATTAATAATAAATGAAAAGCAAAAGATAAGGCAAATAAAACTCAAATATAATGCTGATATTAAGGCAAATAACAGAGTGATTTCTTGCTTGGAAAATGATATGCTTTTGATAGAGGAGAATGAAATTATAAATTAAAAAAAAAGAAGATAAAAACACACATTCACTACATATAAGAATGATAGTTTATAGCATGTTATTATGTAATGTTTATAGCATGTTATTATGTAATAGGTAACATTCCATTGCTGATAAAGAAAATAGTGGAATATATTGGTGTCACTTTTACTGATATTCCCCATGCAGTACTTTTGAGCAAATGGCACATGAGCTATGCATTATATCAGAGTTGCAATCAGTAGAATTGGTTATTCAAAACTATTATCTTACTTAAGGATTTAACGCTACAACACAAGAATATAAATAGCGTTCACCTGACATCTAAATGTCAGGTCACTGCCCTGGATCAAATGCCTGGAGGGACAGTTGATAATTATGAAAACCATATATGAAACTTCATTGATGATATGGCATTTGTTTATTCAGATTTTTACTTGTGCAGCTTTAATGAGTGTCATAGCTCAATCATTTCAAATATATCTGACACAATGTCAGACAGAGTTGCAGCTAACCATCTTACAATAAATAAAGTTTGTGCAACCTGGGGAAAGAATCTGAATGAGTTGAACTACCATTTGCACCCTCTAGACACAATGGATTCTTCATGTTGTTCAGCATTAAAGTTTCTTTAAAATGAAAGTTACCAATTATTTGGAAATGACTGTATGGCTACCAAAATTGTTTTACCATGAACAAAATGAAGTTTAAGAAGGTTAAAGGTGATTCAATTGGTTTAGTAAATTTTTTAGACTACAACAAACTATCACAAGGTATCATTCCAAGGTATCGTGGAAACCGTCTTCATATTCTTTTTCGTACTTGTTTCATTTTTATGAAGCATTATAATGAGTTTAAACATTTTCTCACCATAGTAAATTGTAAAAGCAGTTTTAAAAACATCATTTTGCAATACAATTGCCATAAAAGAAATGTGTGTGCTTGCAGCGTTTAAAAATGTTTTATGTATCAGCTAAATATGCAACTTTTGATCATGTTACTGGTATTTGTGTTCTAAAAAATGTTTTGCAAACTGTTCAAACTTGCAAAGCTCACCCGGATTTACTGTTTGGTAGACAGACTGATTTTTTTGGAAATTCTATTGAAAAAAATATTTTAGAATCAGTAACTAGTGTTTGTTCCAAATTAAAAAGCTGTGACATGCAGTAATGTTTCATTAAAGTATATATTTTTTTCCTGGCAAAAGGGAGGAACTTGGTAGATTATTTATTTTATTAAATTATAAATTGTTTTTTTCTTGCATTACACTAAATAAAAATGATTTGAAATAGGAACATTTATTTTCAGCTAAAAGAAAATAAGTACTTGAAAGAATTTTATTTATTTTGTTGAATTCATTAGAAAGATATGTTTTTAAAAGAGCTAAAAAAATATTTTTAATTTAGCAGAACAATGCTGCAGAACAATTTAGTTGTATAGACAGGTCAAATATAAAATTTTAGTAATTTTGCTGAAGTTACTGATTTTTGTTCAGATTTTCCAACTTCATTGGTGTCATCACCATCTCTGCCACCTGGTGCCAATAATTCTGAAGAAAACCTCTAAAGTAATTTTTTAACAATTTTTTCTTTATTTTCATTTTTTGATTATTTTACTAAAGTTTTGCTTTTATTTAATATAGGTTTGTCAAGGAATGATTTTCTTATATGGTGCCTGGGTCTAAATCAAATCGGACTTTTTGTATATGGGCCCAGAATGGAGGCAAAAACTTGCCTCATTTTAAATTTCAGCCTACTGGTGGCAGAAGAGAAAACCTTGTTGTTAACCACTATAAATACACTTATTAATATGTGTATGTAGATACACTTATAGGTGTATCTAGATACACCTATTAGTAGATATATTAGTATAGTGTGTATATAGTAGATTTATTAGTATAGCGTGTATATATATTTTTAGTTTATATTTGTATATATATTTGTTTATATTTGTCTTTTTGTATATTCTATTTTTTATATGATTAATAATTTGTTTTATATCATTTATATTGATTCCTTTTATAATTAGTTCGTAAATAAAGTTTGCGTTTTACTATAAATAATATTTTTAAATAAAAAAGATGGGTTTTTATTTCATAATTACTACCCCCCCCCATTTTTCACGTTTCCCCCCCCCCCCTATTCCCATGTATCTAAATAAATCTGGGGGGCAAATAGTGCGACATATTCCTTGTTGCACCCTTTTTACACACTTGTATGCATTTGTTATCTCAAAAACTTCTTTCTTTACACTAAATGTTATACATAAAAATACAATGATTTGGCAGTGGCAATGGGTAGAAAGGTGCATCTACTACCACTCAAAGCCAAGTTAGCTTTCACCAGACCCAGAGCCGTCCTTAGAAAATGCGAGGGCTGGAGCAAAACATTTTTGCGAGACCTTTTTTAAAGTCATCATTTTAGGCGCTTTGACACAGAAAAACATTTTTTCTTATTGTCTGAAAAGAGGTTGTATAAGTGCAAAACATAAATTTCGGGTTGGTATAATTTTGAGTTGTTATTTTCGTGTGGGTTTATAAAAAAGATTGATTGCTTTATAAAATAATCTAAAATAATAACAATAAAGTTTATTCTTAAAGTTATTAAAGGCCAAATAATGTAAAATAAATAATAGTTTTTGTCTGACAAGAAATAAATGAATTAGAGTAACAAATAAATTTTTTTCCTTTTTCGTTATTATTGAATAACCAGTTATAAATAACATAACATATTTTTACAAAATAGTAATCTTATTTGCACATTCAGCAATCGATATGAAGGTTGCTCGTAGGTAGGTAGATGTTATATAAAAAGTGTTCACACTGTAAAATAATAGACAATAATTTTATAATAGAACACTTGCAAATATTTATAATATAATAATACAGTGTTATTAATATTGTAAAAACAATTTCCAGGGTTAGATAATTTTTAAAATTACGTCAAAAGAATGAAAACTTAGATGTCACAGTTGATAGCCTTTCTTGACCCATGGACAAACTTAATTATGTCTTTATAAAGTTTCAAACAAGAAAAACTTTTGCGCTTGCCACAATTACAGGTATAGTCAGTAAAATTCTATACGTTACAAATGCATGCGGAAATGGGTTTTAAATCTGATGAATAAATCTCAAAATCCTTGCAGCTGTTTCCACCTCACCCGATAGAAGTTCTCGTAGAACCTTAAGTTCAGAAAAAAGGTCATTTCCGCAAACATTCTTTTCTTCTTCAAAACTTAGAAACGATTCTAGGACTTAAAGATAAGGATAAAGGCTTTTTTAAAATTTTGCTATACACCAAGAGTTTCACTAAATTCTCTTGCTAACAATGTTCCCGCCAAAAACCTAAATCTAAATTTCTGAAAAAAACTAAACTAGCCTTTGAAGCAACTGCGACGCAACTCCATGGTGCATTTTTTGAGTCTGTAGGCTTTTTTTCATAACTTATTTCATTCATAACTGATCGTGTTTCACTATTGTTTGTTTTTTTGGATCCTCAGTGAACTTAACTAGTTCAACTAATGCAGTATGAACTTCTCTAATTTGATATCGAGGCGCTTTTACACTTTCCAGTTTACTTTCCCAACGAGTGTCACAGGACCTTTTCACAGCCAGATTTAGTAAGTGTTGAATGAAAATTTGCCAATACATTTTTAGCGAAGAAAACAGTACATAAATTCTTTGCACGACACCAAAATACGTCATAGATTTAGATTTAGGAAGTTGAGGCTATGGCTAGCGCAGGGAATGTAAAATGCTTTTGGATTTATTTCTAAGATCCGTGCCTGTACTCAAGAGTGGATACTTTTTATATTGGAACCGTTTTATATTATAATCGTTTATATTCCCGTCAATTCTAAAAATGACTGATGTTATACCGTGTTTTAAGAAAAATGACCGAACAATTTTTAATAATTGAACCGTAATCGAACTACCGTTCAATTAATAAAACTCAATTTTTAACAAATTAATAAAAATAATACTCTACCAGCCCTTTTATAATGTATTTTAAACTATTTTATATGAAAAACACTTGATAATTATTGAGTCTAGATTCAATAAAATTTTATGTGGTTTTTGAAGCGATAATAGTACTCAGCATGCACTTTTTTGTTACTTAATAAGTGACATGAATGTTTTAATAATGTTGTTGGATCAATATTAACTCTCTTAAAAACTTTACCCCGCATAACTTACTAACTGCTAAATTAGATGCCTATGGTTTTTCTGAAGAAAGTCTTAATCTCTTGTTATCTTGTATTTCTGGTCGTAAACAAAGGGTAAGAATAAGGTCTTTTGCCTCAAACTGGAGTGAATTATCTGGAGTGTCTCAATGGTCAATCCTTGAACTCATTTAATGTTTAATAACTTTATAAATGATTTATTTTTATTCATTAAAGATACGGAACTTGTAATTTTGGAGATTATAACACTATTCTTGTGATTAGAAGGTTATTTTTAGTTCGCAAAAAGAAGCAACCAATAGCATCAATTGGTTTTAGTTAAACTCTATGGTTCCTGATCCAGATAAAATCCAGTTTTTTTTAGTTGGCTTAAAAAATACAAAATATCTATCGCTAAAAATAGGTAATATAAGGGTTTTTGCCTCCGATATGGTAAAACTACTTGCTATAACAATTGATAACGATCTAAAGTTTGGGAAACACATTAAACAGTTATACAGTAAAGGTAATGATAAATGTTTTGCTCTTTCACGCATAAAATCTTAAGATGTTCAAAGCATATCAAGAATTGGTATGGTAATAATTGCGTTTGCAAAATTTGTGGTTTTTAAAATTTTGTTTTATTTTATAATGGCATATCTTTGCTAAAGATATGCCATTATAAAATATTATTACAATTTTTTGTTTTTTTATTTAAACAATTGTAAATTTTCATGACATTTTTTTTTATTGAAACAATTGTAATTTTTTTATGACATGTATGTATGTGTGTGTGTGTGTGTGTGTGTGTGTGTGTGTGTGTGTGTGTGTGTGTGTGTGTGTGTGTACAGTCTATAAATTTAAGTGTGTTGATTTAAATTAGTTTTAATGTTAAAAATATCTTGTAAAAATCTATTTGAAATAAAAAAATTAAAAAAAAAAAAAAACATTCAAGTTTTTTAATTTTTTATTCATAGGAATAGATTATTTTTTAAAATAACATTTTATTTGTACATATATTTATAGAATTTGTGTACATATACTTACAGAATTTGTGATTTAAAGCATATAAAAGATGGTAAGGACATGAAAAAGTGTGCCTTATAGCTAAATTTCTACAAACACATTTGTATAAATGTAAATGTATTGAGCTGTAATAAAAATAAAATGTATTAGCAATTTTGTGAAAGAATTTAAAGTAATGTTATATACATAAAAAATTTAACATTTAAAAGAAATTTGTAAATCCTTTAAAATGAGTTTTAAAAGTTGTTTATTTGGTCTCCATTTTTATTGTTTATTTACATGTACAAACAAACTTGCTTTGTAATAAATTCGTAAGCATTTATGGCAAAAAACTGTGGCATACAAAAAAGGCCTCCGAAAAAAAATAGCCCTGGGCCCCGAAAAGTCTCGATCCGCCTCTGACTATACAGTGGCTGACCGTCGCGTTGGTTTGACAAGGCACTAACTGATCCGTGAGTAGTTTTGAGTTAATCGATGTCAAAAATTGTCATGTTCTTACCAGGGTTGCCAGATTGGCCACTTCGTGGCAAAATCCGTTAATCTGGCCACGGCAAAAAATAATCGGCAGATCGGCACTTTGGCTTTTAAGGCAATATGCGTTTTTTTGTCTTTAGATGTTTTGTCTGTAAATATGTGTTACTATAATTTAAAAACTTTTTTATATAACTTCGGGTTATATATATATATATATATATATATATATATATATATATATATATATATATATATATATATATATATATATATATATATATATATATATATATATATATATATATATATATATATATATATATATATATATATATATATATATATATATATATATATATAGTTTAATAGTTAAATGAATTAAAACTTTATATTTTTTAATGTAATGCATAGTAAAACTATTTTTTATTAGTAAATTATAAATAAAAATATTATAAATAAAATATTGAGACAAGTCAAGTTAATAACTTGACTTCTCTTAGTATGTAATTGTATTTTTATAACTACGACAGCTTTTACGGTAGGTTGTTGTGATCTAAAAGATGATTGGTTCAATAGTTATTTGATTGTCTTGTTTAAGCCAATAAGATTTACATTTTCAAAAATAAACCAATGCGATCGCGGAAAATTTGGCTACGTTTTGGCCACTTTTGGCTACTTTATTATATATTTCTGGCTACCGCATATCGCAAAATGTCTGGCAACCCTGGTTCTTACGATAAAAATTTATTAGTTTTGGTTGATAGTATTTTTTGCCTAAGATTATATAAGCATTTAGTATCACTATTTTTAACTAAAAAATGATTCACTCTTAATTGAAATATATAAATACTTCAAAATGCAGTTAGAACATTGTCATAGTGAAATAGTTATATCTTCACTATGACAAGGTTCTAACTGCTCTTATGGCGGTAGTTGGAAGCATTTTAGCTACTTAAAAGTTTTATGATTGAAGTAGTTAACTACTTTAAAATTTTATAACTGAAACAGAAGTACAATAAAAGGTAATTACCATATTATCTAACAAGATTCTACCGTTATATTATACTTAGTAACCATTATATTTTTGCTTAAAAGCTAAAAGCTTTTCATCGCATCCTGTCATTTTATAGGTGAAGAACCACTGGTTAGTAATCTCGGTCCTGGAGAGGCACAAAAAAATACAATCTTAAATTATGGAAGTTTAACATACAAAACTCATGAAGATGGGCTGGTGCTAGCATTTTTTCTGTTAGGTCTTTTCATTAAATTTGGCATTAGCAAAAGTCATAGGTATTAAATTGTACTTAAATAGCTTTGCTGTTAAACAACAGCCTTTTATAGTCTGGGTTTGTTTGAATAATGTATTAATAATGATAAAGATTTTTTCCGTTATCTAGTTTAAGGCTTCTTATCAATCTAGGAGGTCACTTTTATTGCTTATCTTTTTTCCTCTGCCACAATATCAAATTTCTTGCAAAAGGCACTAGAAAAATGCTTGCCGGTATTGTCCATTACTGATATAGTCCATAATGCTTAGTGTTGTTTTTTGGTTGTTGTATAATATGCTGCCAAGTTAATAACACTTAACTTGTCCATAATGCTTTCTTTCATAAAAAATAGTAAAAAATAATCTTAATTTGCAGTACTTTTAATAGTCTTTTTAGACCAATTTTTTTATTTATAACACAGCCTGCTTTTTAACATTGTCAATAAACATTTTATTACAAATTCTTTTTTTAATAGTCTAAAGTATATGATGTAGTAAATTAAAATGATACTATTTTGTTCATTAACTATATTCAAAGTTGTACATTCATTAACTGATCGTAAGATATAAGCGATGGGTAATAAACATTCATGACTGAATGAAACAGTTAAAGGTTCTCACATTGACTGTCAGTTAAGGATATGCGCGGCAAAATGTAATTACATTAACTAACGGTAAGTTTGTAAAAAAAAGAAATTGTCATTATTAAATTTGAAAAAAGAATTTTACCTTATAAAAAAATATTTAGATTTATTTTATTGTGTTAAAAATGGTTTTGACAAAAACCCGCATGGCACCCCCTCCCGACTTGAAACCTACTTGCGCGGGCCCTACATTCAAAGGTGCGTATGCAATTTTATCTCCAGCAATGACAACTGAACTACAAATAAAAGTCGCACATACTTAAGGTTTAATAACTAAGGGTATTTTTTTGAATAAAATAGATAACTATTTTTAGTAAAAGTTTAAGAAAAAAAATTATTTATCCTATATTTTCAAAAAGTTAAAAATATTAGAAAAAAGCGAATAATCATAAGTTAACGTATTTATAATGTAAAAAAAAGATAAAACATAAATGATTAAGAAAAATGTTTATTTTTCTACAATATTCAAATCTCCCTGCCGAAAATAGAACCAAGTGCAACTCCATGATTAGTAAAATACATAGAACTTGTTTTATAAAGAGGATTTATCAAAAGAAGAAACTTTTGTAACTGAGCTTGTTGCAGATTAGCTTTGATTTTTGAAAATAAAAACAAAGAGTTTTCAAAAAACTATTGGAATTGGTTCTAATCACTCCAAGTATCTATAGTACTTTTGACATTTGTTGGTTTCCAAAATTATTCTTGGAGGTTTCACACACGGATATATTAATGCAGCTGACTCAAATCTGAGAAAAATATTTGCAAACCTTATGTGCACTACTTGCGTGCAACACTTTCAAGACAAAATAACTCTAAAATACGAATCATGAAATTTGCTTTATGAATTATTATTATATTTATGAAATAATATTATGAATTATTTGAATTAGAAGTTCGTTTGTTCCTTTGACTATTGAATACATTCATAGAAATTTAGATATCTATAATCGTACTATCCATCGTACTTCATCAACAACTTAATCATGTATTCATCTAGTGAAAGGTTTTTTGTTAACAACATGTTGAAAGAACAACAAGTCAATACAAATTATAAATGATCTTTGAGCTTTTGCAGATTGTTGCAGAACTATAGATTCAAGTACTTTGTTACATTTATTTTTCATCATTTTTTAATCTAAACTTGATTCAATTGACCAGTCCAAGTTTTGAAAAATTGCCTGGTTTATGAGTCTGTTTCAAAATAAGTAAAATAAAAACAAAATCAAAACCTATTTATTTAAACAGCAACTTTACAAATAAAGCAAAGGAAAAAGAATTTGATTTTGTTGTTGAAAAAATATTTATAATTGAAAATCTTTGATGTTGTGTCAATTTTTTAACACTAAGAAATGATTACATTTTTTGAGTCTATTCTTTTTATTAGCAACTTTTAATACCTCTTTGTAATATATATATATATATATATATATATATATATATATATATATATATATATATATATATATATATATATATATATATATATATATATATATATATGTATATATATATATATATATATAGACGGCAATTTTCGGTCGAATAACTGAAGGATGTTTTCATGTTTGTTAAGAAAAATCCACGGGTAAAAATCTAACCAAATAGCTAACTTATTTTAATGGAAACGATAAAAGAGAGGTCAGAATCAAGTTTAATGTGGAAAAACATGCTATATTTTCAATTTTTTTTCCCTTCAAAACTTGCTCAACGTTTAGAGTTTTGGTCAAGTCAGCTATCTGCTGACTAGTAAGTTAGCTATTCGCTGACTATTAAGTCAGTTACCTGCTGACTATGAGCAAAAAGATTTAGTGAAGTTATGATAGGGTCATCATACGAAATATATATTTTACATTGTAGCCACCTTCTCTTAAAATTAACCGACGCTAATTTCTTCTATATGTAAATTTAAAGAAATATAAAAATCCTCATAGACCTATGAACTCGTTTAGAGTTAATAATTTTTATTTTTTTTCAACTTCATTTAAAATTTTTAAAGCTTCAACATAGTGTGCAACTTCCAATACTACGTGTTGCGTAAGTTATATCAAGACTTTAAATTTGACGTTGTGTTCATTCTGCTAACCTTATTTTTAAAATATTCAAAAACTTGACTGCAGTGCTATGCAGTGACTGCAATTATTTAACTAATATAATTTTATAATACGGAATTTAAGTAATAAGCTTTAAATCATATAAATCATTTTTTAATACTTCTTGGGATATTAAACAAGGGGTTACAGAATTACATGTATAGGCACAGGGCCGGCGCGAATAGGTGTCACGTGAGGGGGGGGGGGGACATTTGCCGACTTACTGTCTAAATTTACCGACTAACTTGTCGAAAAAATCTACATTTGCCCACTAACTAGTCAAAAAAGTTCAAATTTGCCGACTAAATGAACGAAAAAATCATTGATAAGGGGGGGGGGGGGATTTAGATACTATGCCTTGTATAGGTATAGTATCCAAATCACTTAATTAGAAAGAGAACAACAGAACTTATTCACTTTTTTTAAAAAGGTTAATCATATTCATTTTTATTTTATTCGTGATATTCTGCTGCACACGTCGAACATAGAATGTCAATAAAAAAAGATTTTATATTTTATAAAAATTGTATTTACAATATATTTTATAAATCATCTAATCCCGGCATTGGAAAAGTACATGCAAACTGGCACACCTCTTGACGTAACGAATCTACTCCGTCCATAATCGTCCGGTTGGTTTTAAATATTGATTTATATTCTTTTAATGTTTCTAAAGAAATTTATAGAATTTCATTATTTAAACAAGATCAAGCATTGTTTACTGTACATAAGTGTCATTAAATAGATCATTTTATTTTTTTAAAGTTTTAAAACTTTTAAAAGTTAATAATAATACACTTAATCAAATTAAATAACTAGTCTATCCTGCCTAATTTTATGCATAATTGGACCGCAAAAAAAAAAGTGCATTTTGCGTTCCAAAATAAAAACTTATACGCAAACAAACGCATTCGAACTAACTCAATAGGCCGGGTACATTAAATCATCTTTTCAATATTGAAAATATAAACAATATGTGCGTAAAATATGGCTGCCAAAGGCCGGCGATATAGTAACAAAAAAAAAGCTTTGGTTTAAGCAATTCATTTTCAAATAACTTTTTTACTGTCAAACAACTTTTTGATAATGGCTTTTTAAAAACTGACAGGGTCTACATTTCTTGTATAAAAAAAAAGAGTTTATTATCAGAAGAAAAATGTCATACAAATAGTAAACTACATAATAAAAAAAAAAAAAAAAAAAAAAAAAAAACAATCATTAAATTATTATTTAAATTAATAATGAAATTTTATACTAACAACAATATTAAAAATCCAAGAAACAACAAAATTTTTACAACTCTATGTGTAAAAGAAACTTAGAGTTTAAAATATTTCCCTGACTCACTTTGAAAAAAATTAATAGTTTTCCCTGATCACCAAGTGGATTCTCTCATTTTTCCTTACACAGCTGAAAAAGACACATCTGCCCCTGGCTTTTCCTGACCATACATACTGTCAAGAAAAGTCAGGGGCAGAAGTGTCTTTTTTAACTAACGGGTACTGGGAAAGATATCAATCAAATCTAAATTTAATTATTTGAGCATAACTTGTATTTATCATGAAATTTGCTTTATGAATTATTATTATATTTATGAAATAATATTATGAATTATTTGAATTAGAAGTTTATTTGTTCTTTTGACTATTCAATACATTCATAGAAATTTAGAAATTCATATAATCATACTATCCACCGTACTACTTCATTAACAACTTAATCATGTATTCATCTTGTGAAAGGTTTTTGGACAACAACCAAAACCTTTTTTTTTATTTAAACTTGATTCAATTGACCAGTCCAAGTTTTGAAGAATTGGCTGATTAATGAGTCTGTTTCAAAGAAAGTAAAATAAAAATAAAATCAAAACTTATTTATTTAAAGAGCAACTTTAAAAACAAAGCAACAGGAAAAAGAATTTGATCTTTTTGTTGAAAAAATTTTTATAATTGTAAATCTTTGATGTTGTGTCAGTTCTTTAACACTAAAAAATGATTGCATTTTTTGAGTCTATTTTTTTTATTAGCAACTTTTATTACCTTTTTGTTATATATGTATATATATATGTATATATATATGTATATATGTATATATATATATATATATATATATATATATATATATATATATATATATATATATATATATATGTATATATATACATATATATATACATATATATATATATATATATATATATATATATATATATATATATATATATATATATATATATATATATATATATATATATATATATACATATATATTTTTTGAGTCTATTTTTTTTATTAGCAACTTTTATTACCTTTTTGTTATATATGTATATATATATTTGTATATATATATATATATATATATATATATATATATATATATATATATATATATATATATATATATATATATATATATATATATATATATGTATATATATATATATGTATATATATATGTATATATATATATTTATGTATATATATATGTATATATATACATATATATATACATATATATATATATATACATATATATACATATATATACATATATATATATATATACATATATATATATATATATATATATATATATATACATATATATATATACATATATATATATACATATATATATACATATATATATACATATATATATATATATATATATATATATATATATATATATATATATATATATATATATATATATATATATATATATATATATATATATATATATATATATATATATATATATATATATATATATATATATATATATATATATATATATATATATATATATATATATATATATACTGAAGGATGTTTTCATAGGTTTATTAAGAAAAATCCACGGGTAGTAAAAGCTGCTTCAGATAAGCGGGAACTTCTAAAATGTATACCAGTTAGAGTCTGCTGTAATTAATTTCATTTTTTACAAAACAAAGCAAATCCTATTTTAACCTGTAAAATAATTTTTTTTCTAAACCATTTAATGTTTCATTTGTTAACTTAATTTATGTCCTTAAAAATTTAATATTAAATTTTATAAAATATGACTATATCATACTGGATAGCTAACTTATTTTAATAGGAACGATAAAAAAGAGGTCAGACTTAAGTTTAATGTGGAAAAACATGGGAGATTTAATCTGCTTTACTTTTTTAGGCAAATCTTAGAAAAAGGACCTATATCTGTGTTTCATTTGAATTATTTTTGGCTAGATAATACTAAAATATCAATATTATAAAAACTATTTGTCATGTTACAAAATATTCAAGAAACAGCTGCTTTTATAGAACACTTCTAGTTTTGTTTGTGAGAAGAGACGAGGCAACATGAATGTGATCTGATTATTATTGGATCATTATTAAAAGTAAACATAAAACAGCTTGACAGTTTTAATGATTATTTGGACAATGACTCAGATAATATGTAAACTTTTAATATAAAGGTTTTTTGAATATAAAATACAAAAAAATAAAAATATAACACATATAACATATAACACAATTTTAACAACAACGAAAAATCATACACTTGTATAAAAATTTGTGAATATCTAAACAAATATATAAATTACAAAACAATAATAAAAAAAATTGTAACGAAATACTTACTAGTTAATTTTTGAGCTTCCAATCCGATTTCAACCCCCTTGTTTAATAAATCGATGACTTTTACAAAATCGTTTTCTTTAAAATTCCTTGACGTAAGTGCAGCAGCACCTTATAAGTAATAATTTTTGTTTTATTGAAAAAAATTAAAAAAACTATAAACATGTTTTGTTAAAAACTAACCTAATCTTAAACCACTAGGCTTCATGGCGCTTTTATCTCCTGGAACTGTATTTTTATTGGCTGTAATAGATGCTTGATCTAATACAAACTCAACGCGTGAACCGTCAATGCCCTAAACAACATAAAATTAAAAATTTAAAAAAATTTACTTTTAATATTACTGTTACCAATGTCACAGCCTACCTTTGGTCTCAAATCAACTAATACAAGATGGTTGTCAGTTCCATCTAAATTCATAATTTTAAATAACTAAATATAAATTAACAGTTGATAAATGTACATATTATATTTTGAAAAAATTAAGAATAAAAATAAATACAGATTTATATTGAAAACTCAACCAATAAACTCACTGGATACAATGTCATAACCTTTTGCCATAAGTTGTTCTGCCATGGTTTTGGCATTCTTTAGTACTTGAACTTGGTAATCACGAAACTCTGGTGTCATGGCCTGCAAATGATGAAATGAAAAAAATAATAATAAAAAAAAATGACAAATAATGGTATTATATAAAAGTAAAAATCAATGAGAAATTTTCATAAAAATTAATATGCCCAAATAACTGATGGAAAAAAAACCTAATGAAAAATTAACTCAATTTTATTAAATTATTTAATTAAAATTGATTGAACTTTCACAGTCTTTAAATATCATTCGCAATATTACTTATTAGTATGGACATTTTTTTTCTCTCTCAACTGTAAAACTTCAAAAAGAAAGAGATGAGGCAAGTTAGTTCTACCAGTGATAATATATATTATATATTAAAAAAAACTAATAATGATTTTGACTGAACTAAAAATATTGATTTTGACCGACACAAATATCACATAAAAAACTTTTGTAGAGGAAAAAATCAGAAAATTTGACTTTAAAATGTTATGAAATTTCATAAATTACTTATAAAAACCAAAGTGCATTATATATATATATATATATATATATATATATATATATATATATATATATATATATATATATATATATATATATATATATATATATATATATATATATATATATATATATATATATACAAATAAAGTGTTCAAACACTTAAAAATTTTCAAGACCAGATTTTTAAAAACTTCACTACAAAATCAGACAAAATATAAAATCAAAATAATTAGTAAATCAAATAAAACAGCATTTTAGATATTAACTGAGATGGAAAAAGTTTTACAAATAAACTTATTGGATTTTTAACAAAAACTTGAAATTATTTACTGAAATTATTTTAACAAAAACTTGAAATTATTTAATATTTTTAAAAATGGTTTTTATTTTAATCACACACACAAAAACTTAGTGACCGAGGGTGACAACTTCCATTAAAATATTTTCCTTTTATTCTGGCAATGACAAATAAAATAGGTTTTTTTCCCCTCAATATTAAAAGGAGTACTGGAGATCAAACTTAAAGTCATGCTTCAAAACATCAAAATAACCAGTTTTGTTTGATAGCTTTACTTGTCAAACTTTTAATACATTTTAAATAAAAATTCATAAAATACATGTAATGCATGCATCAACAGGACACCAACAGTATTAAGCAGGTCTGTGGAGTCGGAGTTGTGGAGTCGCGACATTTTTAGCGGAGTCGCTAAGTAAAATCGCGACTCAACTCCAATAGTAAAATTTCTTGGTATTGTACGTGCATGTACAAAATATTCAATTAACCTTGTATTCATACTAAAACTCAAAGAGCTTTTCATAAATTTGGCAAAAATTTTTTTTAACTTGTGTTAAAAATTAATATTTTTTGAAGAATTCAGAGAACTTTTCAAAGATTTTGCTTTGGAGTCGGAGTTAGAGTCAGAGTCAGACTTTAAAAATTTCAACAACTGGAGTCGGAGTTGATACTTTTTTTTTACGACTTCACACCCCTAGTATTAAGGCTAAGA